GGGGGCGGCGGGCGCCCACGGCGGCGGCCAGCAGGGGGAAGGGAAGGCGGGGTGCTGGGCCGCGCTCGCCCCGGGCGGTTCCCTGCGCTGCGCCCGCGATGCCCGTTCCTGCGCCCGGCACTTTCCACAGAGAGCTGTTCCACTGCGGGTGGTCGGAGCCCCACGACGAGCAACGAGGTCTCGAGGCCGAGCCCGCGCACCTGGGCCGCCCCGTCCCTCTCCCACGTTCCATCCCCACCCGCCCAGGCCCGGGCGTCCCGCGTAAGCGGGGGAACGACCCAGTCGCCCACACCAGTCCCGCTGCCCGAGCAGCCGGCGAGCGGGCACCGTGCCAAACACACACCAGGACTCTACATCGCAGGACGCGGTGTCCGCCGGGGCTCCTGCCCTCGAGCGGGACGGCCCTTGGGCCTCGCACCCCAGGACTCGGTCAGCGTCGGCCTCGAGCCGTCGTCGCTTGTCGCCACAGCCTCGGGCGGCGTCCTTATAGGGTCCCTCCCGGCCATCGAGCATACGCTTTCCCCACCCCACTTCGGGGCTGCGATGACACATGAACATTGCGGAGTTACTGCGGAGAAGTTATCCCTTCGGCCAGTCGGGAGAGTCCTTGCGGGGACTCCTTGAAACTTGGGGAGACATTTAGGAAACCACGCGGAGCCCCGAGCAGGAAACCATCTAGACGCCACACTCAAGATGGCGCTGGACTGGGCAAGCGTGGCGTGACGTGGCGATCCAACCCACGCGGTCGAGCCGAAAACCGTAGGCTGCTCCGTCCTTATTGCCAGCGCACTTGGCTAAGCTCTAAGTCGAAGTAAGACTCCTCCGTGTGGGAGGACAGACTAGAAAAGGTGGGGAGATACTCCAGGAAAATTCCTATGCCACACACAAGATGGCGGCAGATGGGGGTTCATCCGTGTGTTGCCAGAAGGGGGCGCCCGACGCGGAAGGCGGGACTCCGGAGAAACGAGCGCGCACTGGCTGAGAGTGGCGGGCGAACACAAAGTTGACGCTTTGCGCCCTGCCATTGGCGGCTCCCGTCTGTCTCTTGGGGCCGGCTATCTGGGAACCGGGAAAACCCGGAGTGTGGGCTCGTGGAGGGGCAACGAGTGCCGAGTCCAGCCGAGCTTGAGGTCGGGGCAAGAGCGACTTTGCTCTCCGCTGCCCTCGGTCGTGGGCGAGCCGACCCCACCCCCCGGAGGCCGCCTTGCTGAGCCGACCGTGGCTCACCCAGGCGAGGGAAAGCGGGCAGTGCCCGGGCGCCCCCGAGTCTGGGCCGGTCCCGCACGCGTCAGGCCCGCACCCCGGTTCACACGTGCCAGTCTGGCCGCTGGCCTGTCGCGCTTTCCCGAGCGAGTTTTCCTTTGGAAAAAGGCCAGGACTGTCTTGTGGCTTGTGAAACGCTGGGCAGGCGCTGGGCAGCTCTGGGGCTGATGGGGTGGGAGGAGGTCGCCCTCGCGACTGGGGTGTGGCAGTGGAGCCCCGCGGGGTCTCCATCTTGTCCGCAGGCGCCCCACAATGTAGACGGGTGTTCTTGCCCTTGCCGTAGCTGGCGCGAGCCAGTCCTAGGGACTGTGTTCCTGGCGCCCCCTCCTTTGTGCCACTTTCGCAGACACGTGGAGGGGTAGTGTACTTTGTGAGCTCGGAGGGAGGGGAGAGCGCCTTCTACCTGCTGCGAGCCCACTACGCTCCAGTAATCCTCCAGGGTAACTCCTTCCACAAAATCCGGCCACAGCAAAACCTTGGCCCGTGCTACGCCTGCGGGTGGAGTCCCGAGGGTGGCCTTGGGCAACAACACGGCACGACTGTACTGGATTCTGGCTTTGGTGTGAGGGAAAGGCCAGACCGCCGAGA